CTTTCTCTTTGCCAGTTAGCTTCATGACCATGTGTACCTCCCAGAGTGCCCTGTCATAGGTGCTCGCAGAAGCTGATGCCATGTGGTGAAAAGAAGCAGCCAGTGCTGTTGGGACCCTAGGAAGAAGCTCCTTTGAACACACACATTAATAGGCTTGCCAAATTTTTAATGCCAGTAAAACCTGGAGGAATTTTAAGTTACAGTAAGATGACTTTTTATCCTTTAAATTTTTCAGGAAGCATCAAGCCAATGTAACATTAAAAACAAAACAAAAAACCCTACAGCATGTCTGGTAATAGGGAAAACAAGAATACAACAAAAAGTACTCCACAAAGAACTCTGTGTTCTGAAAGTGGAGCAGCAGGGTGAGGCATCACAGTGAAGTTCTGATTGGCAACTGCAGAACAGTTTGATTTGCTAGAGTTAAGTTGAAAATGATAAAGGAACTCGTTATCCTTTCAGTTAGCTATGAAAGAGACCAAAGAAATTCTCATAAAAGTTCAAAATCAAGTACTACCCACAACATATCTTTCAGATACATAGAAATATGAAAGGGGTTTAAGGAAAACTCAAAGGCAACCATGAAATGAAAGCTCGGGAAAAGAAGGCTGTAAGATCAGAGAGGCCCACATGGGGATTTCAAAGATACGGGTAATGGGCAATGTCTTGGGCTGGGCGTCAGGCCCACAGGTGTTCCTTTTATTATTACCCTTTATAACTCACAAATTTATTATGTCCTTCTTTAAAACATATATGAAACGTTGCACAGTAAAAGATGAAAAACACAAGGGGTAGGTAAAGGGGTAGCTATAGAAATGCAAGCGTATCATACACAAAATTTAATTAGCAGCAACATAAACACATTTCCAGATAGAAAGAATCAGAGTTATTCTCTACGTAAAGTGGGATTAACTTAATGGCAAAGTAACAACCACCATGTGTGCTGATGAGATGATCAGACTCTAGGTAACTGTGAGTTTGAAATCCTGTCTAATATGAAAGACTGCAACAGAGCCTTGAACCAAAGGTGACTGCCAAATATACACATCTATTTAGTGCTTAAGATTGCTTAAGATTTTCCTCAAATACATGGAGCCGATTTCACACTGGCCACTCACACCTACTGACCAATTAAGGGAGAAAATCTTTAACTTCATAGGCTCCAATCAAGACATGGGGTATAGAATACAAAGAAGGAAATGTTTCCCATAGCAGGATTGCTTGCTTATGGAAAATATCTGCATATGTTCTAATTACCTCTCTATCTTAAATTAGCAACACGCTCACTGTTCTCACTGGAGGGCCTAATGAGTCTTTGATTGCACATTTTAAAATATTATTTTAACATGTGTGTGTATTTTGCCTAGACGTATATATGCCACCACGTGCATGTCAGGGAGGCCAGAATACCAAATAACCATGTGGGTCCTGGCTATTAAACCCAAGATCTATAGAAAACCAGCCAGTGCTTTTGACTGCTAAGTCATCTTGCTAGCTTCTGTTTGTACATTTTTAATCATATTATGTCCATCAGCCTCAGAAAACACTTCTACAAGGCCTGACAAATATGCAATTATATTTTAATGGATAAAAATATATTGTATTGGCTTTTACCTCCCTCTAAAAGCATAAAAAATAATTTTTTTCAGCTGTCTCATCCAGGGACAAAAATTTCCTGTGTGTTAAATGTACATTTTGTACACTGGGGTATGTCAGCATCTCTTGATCTGGGGAGTGGGACATGGCAGACAAGTGTTGCAAACAGTTTGTGGCCACACTGTCCCTATACAAGGCTGGATACAGAAGCTGTCTTCTGTGAGTCATTTAGACTGTCTCTAAATCATATTACTGGACACTCATTAGCCATATTTTCAACCTATGGTGTTTGTTTTTTTTTTAGAACATATTAGGATATTTTATGTGACATTTCATTTTACTGAAAGAGTAGTGAATTCACAACAGTTGGTTCTGGGGCTAGAGAAATGGCTCAGTGGGCAAACACTGGCTGCTGCGTTTCCATCCCCAGAATTCATATAACAGCTAGATGCAGTCAGTTCCCCAGTGGGTGATGGGAAGACGACACTGGAGAAATCATGAGCTGCTCATGGGGCAGCTAGCCTGGAGTATGAAGCAATATGATGAACAAGGCAAGCCCTGTCAGATGAGGAGGAGGAAGGCAAGAATACCAGATGCTTTTTTCTAATCTTCACATATGCACATCTATAATCATATCCATGGTCATGGGGTTGGAGCTGCTAAGATAATACAAAAACTATATTTGGCATTTAAATTCATGTATCTAAGAATTACTGGAAGCCTATTGATGGAGGAAGGTCATTGGTTAATTAATAAAGAAAGTGCTTGGCCCTGATAGGTTAGAACATAGGTGGGTGGAGTAAACAGAACAGAATGCTAGGAGGAAGAGGAAGTGAGGTAAGACGCCATTTCCTCTCCTCTCTGGGACAGACGCGATGAAGCTCCGACCCAGGATGGACATAGGCTAGAATCTTCCCGGTAAGCGCATCTTGGTGCTACACACATTAATAGAAATGGGCCAGGCAGTGTTTAAATGAATACAGTTTGTGTGTTGTTATTTCGGGGCATAAGCTAGCCAGGCGGCTGGGAGCAGGGCAGCAGGAATGCAACCCGCAGCTCCCTCAACAGCCCATTATGGAGATGAGCAAAAATCTCAGTGACACAGTACCTGGCCTCTACTTGCTTCCAGTGTGTGAGATGCTTCACAGAAGGAAGATGTGCTAACCCATAGAAAGGTTACCAAATCCCTACCCCTCTCTGATTCTCGGTGACCTGTGATTTCTCCAGTTATTTACATAACTGGAGGGAAAAGCATCCAGTCTAGAAGGAGAGGAAAGCACTTTAGGATCTGACCAGAGTTCCCTGAGAAGTGTTGCAAAGACGTAAACTACATAGTACTAGCAAAGCACAAGGAAGGAGCAAACACGCAGGAGGAAACTCTTCCAGATTTCCACATTTGAACAAGGCCTTGAAAGTCAGTTACTATGACAGTGCATTTCCAAGAAAAATGCAACAGTGAGGGCAAGTTACTGGGGCTGGGGTGTGGAGGTGGGGATAGCCCCAGTATTCGAAATGCTATTCGAAAGACAAGGACTTGGGACGTTGGCAATGAATCTAGGTAACAAAGAGTGAGTTGAAAAATGATACTTGAGCACGCTGTTTAAGCTGTTAGAGGGGGAGTGGGAACTCTTCCAATTAGGTTAGGTAACTGGCATCCATCTTGCAGATCTGAAAGTAACCCAGAGGTGTGTGTGTGTGTGTGTGTGTGTGTGTGTGTGTGTTTCCTCAATAAAAGGGTAAAAGTAGTGAGCATAACATATACAGAATCTGAAAAGGCTGATTCCATAGACACTGAGAGTGGCTCAAATGCTTCCAATGTCCAGGGAAAGAAGCACAGTTGGCACTTAGGGACATGTACTGCAGGCATGGCAGGAATAAGAATAAGTTCATATTATTCTGCATTCACCCACCAGAGTGAATACAGCTACCCAAGATCTACTGTATATTTCAAAGTAGCTGTAAGGAAGTATATTAGATATTCTATAAACAAAGAAATAATAAGCTTAAGTGACAGTGTGCTAATTGGTCAGATTTGATCTGTATACAATGCACAGATAAAATGAAACACACATTGTACACTATTCATGTGTATAATTATATGTCAATCAAAAGTAAAAGCCAGACATGGCAGAATACACGTGTAATTCCAGCAAAGGAGAGGCTGAGATACAAGGATAGGTAATTTGAAGCTAGCCTGAGCAACAAAAAACCAATGATAAAAAAGTAGAGAACATGGAAATAAAGTTAACAGATACATATTCTGGTCTTATTTCAACACATTTTAGAAAGATACATACTCTCCAATTTAAATATGTACAAATTATTCACAAAAATTTACTCTTATTTAGGCTAGTCTGATCCTAGGGTTGGTGTGGTTCTTCTGATCACATTTTCATCTTTTTCCTTTTTTGCTTTGGGCCAATGTCTTCTTTCCCAATTGCCCTTGGCTTAGGTCCATGGTTGGGTTATCAACCCAGCTGCAGGTGTGTCACAGAGAAAGCTCTGCTAGTAAACAGGAGGTGTGAACTGTCTATGAGATGATAGAAAAGGGAAACCTGAACTGGGGAAGGCTGGGGGTGGGGTGTAAAAGGGGAAAAGTAGTTAAAGCCACAGGTCACAAAGCACATGTCTTTAATACCAGCACTCAGAAGGCAGAGGTAGGTGGATCTCTGAGTTCATGGTCAGCCTGGTTGTACAGAGAGAGAGTTGAGTTCTAAGACAGCCAGAGCTACACAGAGAAACCCTGTCTTAAAAAACAGACAAACAAACAAAACCCTGAGGGGAAAAAAAGAAGACCACAATTCACAATATTGATGAGAATTGTCCTAGGGAGGGAGGGTGGCTTCATCCCTGCAGGGATGACTAGACCCAAGATTACACATCTGGATGCACATCTGCAATCTACAAAAACACTCACTGGCCAACCCTTCCTGAAAACAGTTTTATGAGGAAAGTGTGGCAAACACCCTATTTCCAGATGAGGAAGTGGCAGAGGACAGTCAAGTGCTGCATGACAGGAGCAAAGCTAATAAGCCACGGACCAGGACTAAAGTCCAGGCCAGCAGCTCTGCACACAGTCTCTTTCCTTTAGAGGAAGGGGAACAGGAAGAATCCTGTTTCCATGTTATTATATATACTGTCATGGGTCATCTCTAATGTTCCATGGAATAAGATATGAGAATGAGACAAGCTATAAGATTTTAATGAATCTCATTTAAAAATACACTTTAGGCACAGTCTTTAAAAAAGTGTTTTGTAAATTTATTTATAGAAAGTCAACAGTGCAAGCAAAGGGATAATGATAGACATCAGAAATATAAATTGCTGACTTAAGGACATAAGCCTTTCCATGTCTTGAAAAAATGAAAAAGAGTAACTTCACACTAGAGGGGCATTCCCCTTACCTAGAAGCGTCTGCTTATTTGGGGAGGAGTCAGACTCTGAAGAACATCTGCATGACCGGAGAACGATCACTCCACCGAGCACGCCATCCTCACTGGCAAGGAAAGGTGAACCTGGGCAGAAAAGACCGACAGTCACCTTTCAGTCACTTTCATTTTTTCATTTTCAATTTCCATTTGAACAAAATGTAGCACGAATAAGAACTTGAAGGATGCCCAGTTTCTGACAATCATTGTTCATACCTCATATGATGGTAAAGGCAGTTTAATGCCTGAACAGGAGCCATTTGGCAAAGGCAGTGCCAGATACTGCCAAGTTGACCTGAACTGGGGAGAGTGAGTGCAGTTTTTTATTTGGAATATAAGTGGAAAATATCACCAGATTAAAGGACCAAAACAACCACACACACACACACACACACACACACACACACAAGCTCAGCATCACCCTTTGACCAACTCTTGGGAATCCTACACAAGGCTCTTCCTGCTGCCAGAGGCACCCCACCAAACGCTTTGATTTACTACCTTAAATTCAATTTTAAACAATAAGCCACAAAGTTTATTACAAACATTTAAAAATGCTCCTGATGGTTTACACAAATAAGGGTGAAGCCAGATTTCTATGATGTGAATCTGGTGGTTAGAAACAACCCAGCCTCCTTGAGATCTCACACACCGAACCACTGTGAACATTTCAGGAACATTACATTTTTAAAGCTCCTCATTTTCCCCCCAAGGACATCTTCTTGGACATCTGGCATAACAAGTGAGCACGTGGAGAACAAATGCAAAATTAACCCAACAACTATCAAAGAAAGTAGTAAAAATAAAACCAACCAAATTGGATTTCGGGGAAACTTCTGGTTAAATTCAGTAGATTAAATACATGCATTTATCTCCACTCCCTCCTCAAATCCCTGGGAATGTTGGATGGAAAAGGAAGGAGGGTATAAAAACGAGGGGGGAAAAAAAGCAGATTTTGGGGAAGAGATGGAGAAGCAGCTATTTCACTTGCAGACATAGTGTACCGGCTAGTTTTTATATGTCAAATTAACACAATCTAGGTCCATCTAGGAAGAAGGAATCTTAATTTTAAAAAAAGTACTTCTACAGGATCGGCTTGGAGGCAGGTCTGTGGGGCATTTTCTTGACTGATGATTGCTGTGGGAGGTAGCCCAGATCACTGTGGGTGGAGGTCCTGTGTACTATAAGAAAGCAGGCTGAACAAGCCATGAGGGGCAAGTCAAAAAGCACCCTCCATGACCTCTGCATCAGCTCTTGCCTTCAGGTTCCTTCAATGATGGGCTGTGATGTGGGACTATAGCTAATAAAAGACCTTTTCTCCCCAAGTAGCTTGAGTCATGGTGCTTTATCACAGCAGTAGATAGACTACCTAAGACACCTATGAAAGCTAAATCTCAAGACTCGGTCAACACTGCTTAAGGAAGGAGGACTTACTTCAGCTGAGAGCTCAACCTTCTTGCAATATTTCTATCAGGGCAATAAAACATAATCTCAAGTAAAAATTTGCTTTTAGACGACTCCTACTTTTTTTTCTCCTAATTTTCTACACCCTATAACAAGCCAGTAGGTCTTTGACCAAGTGTGATGCAAATATCTTCCCCAATTTATTAATGACTCTGATTTTACTTCTGATTCTTCATTTTTGGCTTACTTGTTTCTGATGCTTGGGCAGCTTATATGTCAGCCTTTTTCCTTTAAGGTTTCTGTGTTGCAAGTTTTACAGGAAAAGCCTTCGCTAGTGGGAAATTATGAAAATATTTTGCCCATGCCCATGTTTTCTACTAGCACTTTTACAATTACAGACTTTAATTTTAAGACTTCAAACTTCTGGAATTAATTTTGGGGTAAAGATTGTTGTGGAAAACTTGTGGTAGACTTATTCCTCCTAAATAGTCAGTCAAATACATAATAACACTTTGGTGAAAAATTCATTCCTTCTCTACTGACTTTAAAATGTCCTTTTTCTACTGACTTACAGTATATTTTTTATCATATATTAATTCTCATATGTATTAAACCCATACATTTTTAAATGATAAAAGCTACTCTCACATAAATAGTGTTTGAATCTACTTACAGTCTTGCAGCATATTATTCTTGATTGGACCAGTTTCTTCTCAATATTTATTATATGAAATAATTTTTCTGCTTTCAAATGTTTTTTAAAATAGCATTTCTTAACAGTTTTGACTTTTATTCTTATTGAAAATTTTATGCGGACACATTTTAAATAAATTGTGATTTTTGCCTATGAGTCAAATATATTGATAAAATTTCCTTTGGTATATATTTAATACTTCTACTCTTAAGTTTTAATCAAATAATTGCAACTGTTGAATGTACTCTGATTTATAAACTTCCTACAGTTTTTTCTCAGTTCTTAGCCTTTGAATCTATCCTATCTCATTTACCACTATCCATATTTCTAATGCAAACAAACAAAAATCATGCTACATGATCTTCAGTTTGGTTTCACAAAACAGAACAAAACTCAAACACAGCAAAATAAAAGCCTGCATGTTTCCAAGAGAGGTTGGATATCACATTGTCTATGATTGAGGTTAAAACACTCTGAATTGGATGGAAAAGGTTTAATTTAACTAGTCAAAAGTACATGAAAAACTTCCCTGATTCAGTATTTAAAACATATAAAGTATTTTAAAACAATTCTGAAGGAACAGAGGCTTTGCTTATTACAGCCAAGATCCCATGTGTGTGTTAAACCTTACACCCTTTTCTATAATATAGTTCAGGATGTCTCTCAGAACTGTGTTTATGAGCAGTGTCTTTTGCTACAGGACCCAGCTGATATGTTTTGTTTTATCATGGGCTTGGCAAATAAAGTTCAAATGTTCAAATAATGCAGATAAACACCGGAAAAAAAGTCTCTACCAATCTCTGCACAAAGATATTAAATGGAATTAGGTTATCAAGACCACCACACACCTTCCAGTGCTGCTGCTGCATGTTTTGCCCAGAGTACAAACTCTTCTCACTTTCACTTTGTAACCTGTTTATTGCACATACGCCCATAACAGTGAAGAATCATTACTACTGCTCATTCTGTTGGAAGTTGGTGAAGCCTTAAAAAGGTCACATGGAAGAGTGCCCAGTGGTAAGAATGTTATAGGTTCTCAATATCTGCTACAGGCTTCCAAAGAATTACTGAAAGGTAGATCAACCACAGGCAATGGAAGCACCACATCTCTGGTATAAACAGCACTAAGAGGCAACTTATTCAGGGCACAGACGAGAATGCTGTCATATCAACAAGTTCAGAACTAGTTCACAAGAAAAGAAGAAGGGCCAGGCGATGGTGGCACATGCCTTTAATCCCAGTACTCGGGAGGCAGAGGCAGGCGGATCTCTGTGAGTTCGAGACCAGCCTGGTCTACAGGGACAGGCTCCAAAGCCACAGAGAAACCCTGTCTCTAAAAACAAAACAAACAAAAAAAAAAAAAAAAAAGAGGAGGAGGAGGAGGAGTCAGGTGTAGAGAGCAAGGGAACAATGATGCTGAATGCACCCAGCACTATGAAGGAAGACAAACACACACACACACACACACACACACATACATACACACACCAACTGACCAAAATGAAAAAGTCAAAGAGGAATAGTTAGGGTCTGGTAGGGCAGCATACTTTGCTGAAATCAGATAAGTAATAAACAAACATAAATCTGTGTTATAAGAGAAGCTTTGAAAGACTGACAGTTCAGAGGGCCAAGAGGATGATATCACTTGCCAAGAACTTTTGCTTGGCACGCTGAGAACACTGTAAGCAAAAGGGGCATCCTTGTCTAATGGAATTTGAGCCACATCTTTCATTGTTTCAAAAAGACATCAAGTGCTGCTGGACACAGTTCCCACAATGAGGAGTTCTGCACTATGAGTGTTCCCTTCCCACTGGAAGTATTACATATGTTAACTGTTCTTTTGTCTTAATCCTATGTGATAAAAGGGAAGGGATCACTACAAAGAGTGTATGGATAGCACTATTACTTCATTTATTCTTAAGGCATTATTGAGTATTATTAGTTATTTACCCTACCTGAGCATGAATTTCCCTACCCTGCTTTGTATAGATAGATCATCAACAACAAATCTCACACACACACACACACACACACACACACACACACAATCCCGGATGCCTGGTTATATGCTTATGCTGGAGACATCCAAGGAAGCAAAGATAAACAACATGGAACTACTTAAAACAGCTCCATGGAAAATCAAATCAGGGGCTAAAATGGAGACTGAAGCTGAAGAATCCACTGCTGATTGGTAATTTCTGAAAGGAGAGTGTTGGAAATTTTAATAAAAAGGTAAAGAAAGAACAAGATAAAGATTAGAAAGGAGGACATGACAAGCTAAAAAGGACATGCCAAGGTCCTGAAGAGTTACAGACCTGGAAATTTAGAAAAACAAAACGAAGCCGGAAAAGGCAACATAACAAACAACACCTGGAATGAGGCTGAGGGTCAAGCAGTAATGGTATCTCACAGAGCACGGAGAACTTGCCTACATTTGCATCTATTCATAGGGGAAGGGCAAAGGGCTGGCACTATTCAGAGAAGAAACTCAAACAGGTTGTTCTCAGGAGAACAGGTTTAGGAGAAGGAATAGGGAGACTGCCAAAGAGCCTTCTGTGGAGGTCTAGGTGAGAGTTTCTTTGGGAGTATGGAGACACCTCCATGTTCCCTGGACAGCCACCCTTCGTTAGACCTAATACAACACAGGATGGTTGAAGGCACACTGTTCCTCCCATAGGGCTAAACTTTGTGGCAGCAGATACAACTTAAGATAAAAGTGAGGCAAGATATCCAAATGGATTCAGCCAAGTGGACACTGAGAGCAGTGAGTTCGGCTTCTTAGCAGGAGGTCCGTGAGTGACTTGAAATGACGGCAGATGGTTACGACTTCAGTCTCCCATTTAAGTCAGGTCATTTATATGTACTCTTATCATGATACAATGTCAAAGCAGTGCCTAAGGATGGATGTCAGAATTCTGGACATCACAAGGCTGAGTGCTGTGAAATTCCTTCTCTGATCTAAGGCTCTGAATTCCTACCCTCCTTTTAC